CTCTGAATTTTACTAAACTCAGACTAGTAGACATATGTTTATTTTAATTTCATACCCTGTAGTTTTAATTCTTTACTTATGTACCATTTGTATTCGTTGGAATAATCAAGAAAATTTATTCTTAATCTGTTTGACCATAATATCAAATCAATTATCATGATTATGTCTCTGAAACGTTATTCATTTTGTGAAGAATGACATGATAGAAACAAACATTTTTAGTGCACTAGTCCTTATAACATGTATAATCATGATAATGATAACGTATTGCAGTATATACTAGTCCTTATGATACCTTAACTTAATTGGGCAGTTATATAATTAGGCAAGGACTGTAGGACAAGTGCCAATTTTTATCTGTGTATGACATTCATGAATGAAAAAAACATTTTGTAGTTACAATGTTGAACTCATCACAAATTTATAATTTATATCAAATATATCCTCAATCAATCAGGAAACTTTTCAGATGGGAAGTATAGTATTTTCACTGATCTAAAATAGGAATCAATGATATTGATACCAACAGCTACCATGTACACATGACTACGTGTGGTATTGACTGTACTCCACTGTACGTGTGGTATTGACTGTACTCCACTCTACGTGTGGTATTGACTGTACTCTCCTGTATGTGTGGTATTGACGGTACTCCACTGTACGTATAGTATTGACTGTACTCCCCTGTATGTGTGGTATTGACTGTACTCCACTGTATGTGTGGTATTGACTGTACTCCACTGTACGTGTGGTATTGACTGTACTCCACTGTACGTGTGGTATTGACTGTACTCCACTGTACGTGTGGTATTGACTGTACTCCACTGTACGTGTGGTATTGACTGTACTCCACTGCATGTGTAGTATTGACTGTACTCCACTGTACGTGTGGTATTGACTGTACTCCACTGTATGTGTGGTATTGACTGTACTCCCCTGTATGTGTGGTATTGACTGTACTCCACTGTATGTGTGGTATTGACTGTACTCCCCTGTATGTGTGGTATTGACTGTACTCCCCTGTATGTGTGGTATTGACTGTACTCCCCTGTATGTGTGTTATTGACTGTACTCCCCTGTATGTGTGTTATTGACGGTACTCCACTGTACGTGTGGTATTGACTGTACTCCCCTGTATGTGTGGTATTGACTGTACTCCCCTGTATGTGTGTTATTGACTGTACTCCCCTGTATGTGTGGTATTGACTGTACTCCACTGTACGTGTGGTATTGACTGTACTCCCTGTATGTGTGGTATTGACTGTACTCCCCTGTATGTGTGGTATTGACTGTACTCCACTGTATGTGTGGTATTGACGGTACTCCACTGTACATGTGGTATTGAATGTACTCCACTGTATGTGTGGTTTTGACTGTACTCCACTGTATGTGTGGTATTGACTGTACTCCACTGTACGTGTGGTATTGACTGTACTCCACTGTACGTGTGGTATTGACTGTACTCCCCTGTATGTGTGGTATTGACTGTACTCCACTGTATGTGTGGTATTGACAATACTCCACTGTATGTGTGGTATTGACTGTACTCCACTGTATGTGTGGTATTGACTGTACTCCACTGTACGTGTGGTATTGACTGTACTCTACTGTATGTGTGGTATTGACTGTACTCCACTGTATGCGTGGTATTGACTGTACTCCACTGTACGTGTGTTATTGACTGTACTCCACTGTATGTGTGGTATTGACTGTACTCCACTATACGTATGGTATTGACTGTTCTCCACCTTATGTGTGGTATTGACTGTACTCCACTGTATGTGTGGTATTGACTGTACTCCACTGTATGTGTGTTTACTGTACTCCACTGTACATGTGGTATTGACTGTACTCCACTGTACGTGTGGTATTGACTGTTCTCCACCTTATGTGTGGTATTGACTGTACTCCCCTGTATGTGTGGTATTGACTGTACTCCACTGTATGTGTGTTATTGACTGTACTCCACTATACGTGTGGTATTGACTGTTCTCCACCTTATTTGTGGTATTGACTGTACTCCACTGTACGTGTGGTATTGACTAATCCGTATGGACAGCAACCATCTCACCTATGAGTGTTCAATAAGAGTTTGATTACATGGACTATTGATTGTGTCAAGCTTGATGTTTATCATGTTTATTCAGCCCTAATCACATGCTAATGGAATTATTATAAATAATACTAATATGTTTACCGTATTCCCCATATTAATCACCCTGCTCCAATATGCTCCCTTGACAAACCTCTAGGCCAATCTGTAAGTAATCTTTATAAGTGAGTGAATATGGTTTTACACCGCTTTTAGCAATATTCAAGCAATATCATGGCGGGGGACACCAGAAATGGGCTTCACACATTGTACCAATGTGAATCAAACCTGGGTCTTCGGCGTGACGAGCAAACCCTTTAACCACTAGGCTTATAAGTTCACCGCCCCTTATGTTTATGAGCACCTCCTACTAAGACTATGAACTTACATAACAGTCTATATTTTCATGTCAATATTACATATATTTGGAGAAAACAGTAGCACATGAGGGGTATATTATTTCCTTGTACCTGTTGCAGCTAATATTGAAAAGCTTTAAACTATGCTGTTCAGTACCAGGTCGATCTCGGAAAACAAATCTGTACTTGTTTTGTATCATAGGCTTCAATATGCATTCCCTGTGAGGTTTCTAAGTTGTCAGGGCACTTTTTACAGTGAATATGGTATATGCAGGTAAGTACTTCACAGTGATCGACTGGTGGTTAAATTGCTACTTCAATAAATTGCTCTTGAAGGAGCATGTGAAAATATGATATGTAGCACCTGGTGATAATGACTAAATTGCTAGGACAGGAGAGTGTCATAGATTAACTGATTAACTATATACATAAAGTGTAGGAGGGATTTGTTCAAGTATATGTGGCAAACGGAAGGAACGATTAATCAGAATGTATTATTAGTATTGTTGTTATCTAGTGCCTTTATGCAGTCCATACCAATGCTACAGTAGAAACTAACTGTTTTAGTCTACTAGTCCTTATGATGATAACACATAGCAAAACCCTTAAAAAGGACAAATTTCTACTAGTCCTTAGGATACATTAACTATTGGGCAGTTTGACAAGGACTGGAGGAATTAAGTGCCAATTTCTAGCTATATGACAGTCACAGCTGTCTGTGAATAATTGAGTCTGGACCAGACAATCCAGTGATTGACATCGTGATCATTTAACCGTGCATCAACCAAGTCAGCGAGCCAGACCTCCCAATCCCTCCTGTTACGACAAGCATAGTTGCCTCTTATGGTTAGCATGGTTGCTTAAGACCAATTCTACCGCAGATCTTCATGGGTTGAAGAATAGGAAAAAAGATGGTTGCATGTAGATATGACAAATACTTCTGTTGTTATTTCTTATCATATATATTATTTTTTACACACACAATTAACATCCACGATGGTGTACATCTGCTTCCTGATGGCTAGGTCAGACAGTAATACGGTCAAGTTGGATGTGTCGAAGTCGAACTATTTCTAGTTAAGAGAGCTAAAGGTTTGAGACAGCCTGGTTTAAGGCTGCATTTTTAATATCAATAGAAACATGAGTTGATGTGCGTCTAGGTAATTGTTATGGTTAGTTTGTGGTTGGGGGCGATCGGGTAGCCTAGTGGTTAAAGTGTTGGCTCGTCACGCCGAAGACCTGGGTTCGATTCCCGACATGGGTACAATGTGTGAAGCCTATTTCTGGTGTCCCCCGCCGTGATATTGCTGGAACATTGCTAAAAGTGGCGTAAAATCAAACTTACTCACTAGTTTGTGGTTGGTGAAAGTGCACCGGTGTCTGAAATAACTGCCTGCCCGCCTGCCCATGGCTGGTAACTTTTCTGACGGGCTGCATGAAATTTTCTTCCACCTGCCCAACTGTTTTAACACTACTCATGTATTCAGTTTAATTATTACTCCTTGTAGATTCTCAAGTTAATGATTGCATTATTGCAACTGAATCAAGAGACTATTTGTCTCTTATCTTTTGCAATTTTTCAGTATTTATAATGTCTGAATGCGGGCAGGTAGCTTTAAAGATGGGCAGGCAACACGTCACCTGTCCGACTGTCTTGTTGGGTTTTTTAAATTATTTCAAACACTGAAGCACACCAATAGATAAACAGTTCTTGTTACATGATGATATTAAGACGATGTAGTGATCCCAAGTTACAATGAATGATAACTTGATTCATGGTATGCAGTGTTTGAAAGTGTGTGTACTTCTAAACAGTAAGGTAATGACAAGGGCCCTTGTATATTATGCTTAATTTTGAACATGATTGTGCACATAAATACTACCATTTATTTTCAAGACAATATCCAAATTAGCAAAAACATTATTATCATGATAATAGAGGACATTTGCCTCAGATTGGAGGACAGATTGCCTCAGATTGGAGGACAGATTGCCTCAGGTTGGAGGATAGATTGCCTCAGATTGGAGGACAGATTGCCTCAGATTGGAGGATAGGTTGCCTCAGATTGGAGGACAGATTGCCTCAGATTGGAGGACAGATTGCCTGAGATTGGAGGACAGTTTGCCTCAGATTGGAGGATAGGTTGCCTCAGATTGGAGGACAGATTGCCTCAGATTGGAGGACAGATTGCCTCAGGTTGGAGGACAGATTGCCTCAGATTGGAGGATAGATTGCCTCAGCTCTAGGCTGAAATTAAGTATTGCTCTAGCCTCCATTTGGATTTTATTATTTTTCTTTTAGAGATATATGTTATTAAATAATATAGCTTTACTTCTTTACTCAGTCTAGAATGCATCCAGCACTGCTGTCCAGGTAGACAGCATTGGTCATACTCAATAGTCCACAGTTCTGAATGAATAGTGGATTATGTAATGCAATTAGATTTGTCGATAAAGCAACTAGTCCTTTGAGATTTTCACTAGTCGGGGACAATGGACTATTGGCTATGTCTACTCCACTATTATGGTCCCTGTTGTACATGTTGCAGACTCTGTTGACAAGGCTGCTGGTGGTGACGGCAAGGGCAGTGTGGTCGAGATGAGGCAGTCCAAGTCCATCTCCATCGAGGTTGTGTCCAGCAAGGAACTCGTCTTCGTCTCGGTGGACGGGACAACTGTGAGTATGGGTTATCAAGTAAAGGACAAACTCCAAGCTTACGTCTGGGATTGTACAAATTACAAGAACAAATAAATAATATATTGGGTTGCATTGTCCAGGTAAAATCGGTTCTTTGTGTGCGCAAAGCCTCTGTTGCCACATTTGTACAACTGACAAACATGTTCTCTGTTTTCAGATACTCCATGAAAATGTGTTTGAGCTCAATAGGGGCATGCATGTCGTCGTCCTGAATCAAGCAACGGTAGGTTCACTCTGCCTGTTTATTCGTGTTGTCAGTGTCCTTTCAAGGTCAGTCCCGTGAAGATCCGGGGTAGAATAGGTCTTCAGCAACCCATGCTTGCCGTAAAAGGCGACTATGCTTGTCGTAAAAGGCGACTAACGGGATCGGGTGGTCAGACTCGCTGACTTGGTTGCTGCATGTCATCGATCCCAATTGCCTGGATCGATGCTCATGATATTAATCACTGGATTGTCTGGTCCAGACTCGATTATTTACAGACCGCCGTCATATAGCTGGAATATTGCTGAGTGCAGCGTTAAACAACAAACCAACCAACCAACCAACAAACCAACCAACCAACAAACCAACCAACCTTTCAAGGTCATAAGGACCACAGGTAGGGCTGGGTCGGGTAACTCGGGTACCCAGGTCGGGTGGGTACTGAGTAGGCCCCGGGTACCCACAGGATTACCGGACCCGTGGTTATAGTCACATGATATTTGTCTAATGACTAAAATTATCTGGAACTCTATGGTTACACTACAAGTCATTAATGTTCGCTTTTTTTCCTGACTATTCCTTCTGATTTGTCATATGGTTGAATAAAGATATAACTTAAGTCAACTTCAGTGTATGCATGACCAGATTGTTTAATACATGTATCTAAATACGTTTTGCCAGGGCTATGCTAAAAAAGTTCCCAATCGGACATTTTGAGACATCTCCTGAGACCTACAGTGGGTACTCAGGTAGGGTAGAATAATAGGGGGTGGGTACCCGGGTTGTAAATTTGGACTCGTCCCAGCCCTTACCACAGGTCCTATATTTTTCATGAAATTGTGTTTTATCTTCACTTCACATAAAATCCCCCAAAGTATTCATGATCCCTATCCTTTTTTGTTCAGTATATATGTATGTTTGTCATCATGGTCAGCTATGTGCCACCAGTCCAAGATGAAAAGGTATCATGACTTCACATGACATACTTTTCCTCGGCTGATGATGACAATGGTCTCCCAGTGTTTTCATTGTCTGAATGTTGTTTGTTTTCCCCAGGGCAGTGTGATGGCGAAGCGGGTGTTCGACACGTACAGTCAGCATGAAGACGAGGCCATGGTGTTGTTTCTCAACATGGTGTCGGATGGCAGGATCATTATCTTCACCATCAAGGTGAGATACTTTACTTACAATTGAGTAAAGCATCGGTTCTAGGTAGGAGGCTTCAAGCTATCTTAAGCCAGGGTTAGAAATTCATTCTTCGTTTCACTAGTCCACAACAACAACAACAACAATAATGATAATAATTAAAAAAAAAAAAATAAAAAAAAATAATAATAATCTTGGTTCGCAGGCTCCACCCGCATCATCATAAAGTTCGCTGCACGTTTCATTTTTGTTTCCATTTTTAAAAAAACTGAATAAATACTTAAATATTCCATGTCCAATGGTAGTCAAATGCTGTATTCCTGTATTTTACTCATCAAAGAATACGTTTATGTAGGGAGGCCCTTTCCCACAACTGTTTATTTTGTTACACATCTGTTTATTTGGTTACATACTAGTTTGAACAACAACAAAAAAAAACGCCCGCCCACACTATATTTTCAAAAGCCATTGCCTGACAACCGATTATTTTACTTTTTTTAGCCTAATTAATGCATATTTATGACACCTAATCCATATCCTAAGATATGCTTATACATGTAGCTCATGGAAACACAACTGATGATGACTTCCTGTCATAGTTCGCCATGAACTCACTTACCACCAGACCACAAGGCTGCATACATTTATTCACTCGTTGGAGCCTATCAAATGGAATCTCTTGCAATATTATTATAATAAATATGTTGTGGCTAATATAGATTCCAATGTGTCCCTAATTCTCACATTACATGCAACAATATTTTTACACATAAGTCAACAGTAATATGATTTGTGAGTCAAAGTCAGTGTATGCATGACCAGATTGTTTAATACATGTATCCAAATATGTTTTGCCAGTGCTATTGTGAAGGAAAGCCCAATCGGACATTTTGTACCTATCTCTTGAGACCTAGAGTGGATCCCCGGGTAGGGCAGGGTAATAGGGTGGTGGGTACCCGGGTAGTAAATTCAGACTCGTCCAAGCCCTACCCTGATTATGTTTTTTGGTTTGTCTGCATCATACCCATGAATGTTGAGCTACACTTGATAGCCTGAAAGAAAAGATGGAAAGATGCTTCAGAACGTAATGTGTTATCATTTTATTTCAGGATGAGGCGTCATTCCATCTTAAGTCTGTGGCTCGCACATTCTTACGGAACCTAGGCAGTGAGAATGTTGAAGCTCTCAACTGGCGGGATATGTGGTGTTTTGCTGCGACCAAGGGAGGTAAGTGTTGTGATGTAACTTTCACGACTGAAAGAGTGAGTGAGTATGGTTTTGCGCCACTTTTAGCAATATACCAGCAATATCATGGCAGGGAACACCAGAAATGGGCTTCACACATTGTACCCATATCGGGAATCGAACCTGGGTCTTAGGCGTGACAAGTGAACAGTTTAACCACTAGGCTACCCGACCGCCCCTCACCACTGAAAGAAGGGAACAATGAAGCTCCGACAATGTAGTATTTCAAAGAACTGTCAACAAAACAACAGTTGACAGGAAGACATGTTTGAATTGGTTATATTTCTGTTTATACGTTTTTTTATTTATGTCTAATGCCGCACACTGCAATATGTCAGCTATATGATGGCAGAATTATGTCTTGAACAGACAGTCCAGTGATTGATATCATGAGCACCGATCTACATATTTGGGACACAATGATAACTCATCGACCAACTCAGATGATTGTCTTTCATATGTGGCTTGATTATATCTTACTATCTACCTGGAATTATTTAAGATATACAATTAAAATTTCCCATTTTGTATTTTCCTTAGAATATTTTTCTTGTGCATGAGCAGACACTTTTGAATGTGAATGGAGGACTAGAAACATGAAGTATCCATATTTCTATATCTTAGGCAAGAAGTTGGGGGAAGCACATGGCAAATCCCCCAATCTGTCCTCTTGGGGGGAGCGGGCAGCCTTCAAGGTGGACATCCCACTGTCCAGCATAGCAGGTGGGTACAGAGTTTTGTCCCTTGGGTGTAGCAGGATGAGTTTCAACAAAATTGGTAAATGTCTAACACCCGCATCACTTAAGGTTTTCCTGATATTTTCTTGTGACTTGAGGAGAAATATAAGAAATATGATTCAAAGCACTGTTAAAATGCACTGACTCCAAATTTTGATTTAATTCAGATGTCATTTGCACATGAAACAACTCAGGATTTGTCTTTCATTTTATGAGCAGTTGAAGATGTGTTATGTTGTGTCCATTGTAGATGCCGAGTGTACGTGGCCTGACGATGATGTCGGGCGGAGGAGGAAGGCTTTCTGTAGCAAGGTGGAGGGGTATGGCAGTGTGTGTAGCTGCCAAGACTCCGCCCCCATTGTCTTCACACCGGAACCGGTAGGTATATAACTATATCTTAGGTTTATGATAAGGGGATTAAGCTTTGAAAAAGCATCATTTCATGCAAATCTCAGGCAATCTGTGCATGTAAAAGCCACTGTCACCTGATGATCTGGCAAGTATTTTTTGAGCCTATAGTAAATACTAATTAACTGCCATATATTCGACTATAATTGCCTTTTTCATGATGTAAACGGGGCGGTCGGGTAGCCTAGTGGTTAAAGCGTTCGCTCGTCACGCTGAAGACCCGGGTTCGATTCCCGACATGGGTACAATGTGTGAAGCCCATTTCTGGTGTCCCCCGCCATGATATTGCTGGAATATTGCTAAAAGCGGCGTAAAACCGTACTCACTCACTCACTCATGATGTAAAACTATTCCTTGTTTGGGTATTATGCGGATCATATTTAGTCAAATGATGAAAACGTAAAGATCCAGAAGTCTTGTTTTTCACGTGGTAAGAGTTAGGGGTTTTGATGCAGTATAGGTTTACGTTTCTTTTATCTGTAATTCTGTATCGGTGTATTTACAATTTATGTTTCAGCTGAAAAACAGTAAAATAGCCTCTGTTCCAGTGGCAGTTATAGCCAGCGACCGACCCCATTACTTATATAGGTGGGTGAAATAGGTCATGCTGTGGATTATGTATAGGATAAAACACATCCGAGGGTTGTTATGATATTTAAAACCCGCATCCCGAGGGATTTTCTGAGGGAAAGGGTTTTAAATTTTTATGTTTCGAACATACTTTCCATGAACCTTAGGAAACGAGCGTAAAATATCTGTTGCTGGCGTACGGATCTTGAAAAGGACATTCTAAAAAGCAGTGCGGCTTATCAACACCTCTGTAGCCTTATGGTACACTCACTGGGCTACAGATATGAAGGTTGCGAGTTTGATCCTCGGGAATAAAAAGAAAACATTTGTCATTTGATTTTACATTTCATTACATGTTACAATCTGAACGGAAGTTATATTAATAAAATACCCAGGACATTATATAAAATCCCTGTGATATTATAACACATCATATAGCAAATATGACTTGAATATCCTATAAAATCCCGGGGATATTATATAAAATCCCAGGGACATTACAACGTCCCTGTTTATGAGATTTAACCCAACTGGAGAACAATAGGATGACGTCACCGGAGGTTTATAAGTTCAGTTTATTTTTAGTCTTTTCTGAAAGATTAATCATGTTAATAGATGTTCCGCTAGACAATTCAGAGATAGGATCTGCATCACTTGATGTAACTTGAACATTGTTCAGAATGGCGTTAGACCTCACTCACTCACTCACTCACTCCAGGTGCAGCCTCTGTTTTCAGACACTGGTGTCAGTTCCTCTATTGCTTGTTTCTATTCACCTTGTGGCTGTGTAGATGCAAGTGTTATTAAGAATCCTGGCTGCTCCTTTAGTTCAGGTGTATATCAGATGTATTTACTTTTAACTCTCTCTGTTTCCACATGTGTCAGAATGTTGCGGACCCTGTTGTCGGTGCCAGGATCTAACCCCAAGATGGTCACAGTCTTTATTGATGGCTACTTTGAGGTATGGTGTAAACATTGGGTAGTGGATGTTTTAAGTGTAATTGTTTCAGAACATGTTTTAAGCGGAATAAAAGAATTGCTTCTCAGGCAATGTCTTTTTAAACTATAGTACTGGTGGTGTTTTGGGGTGTTTTATTTTGTTCAGACTAGCATGTAACCAAATAAACAGTTGTGTACCATCAACCTGGGAAAGGGCCTCCCCACGTAAACAAGCATACACACTCCTATTGCCCCCAGGGCGGTCGGGTAGCCTAGTGGTTAAAGCGTTTGCTCGTCACGCCGAAGACACAGGTTTGATTCCCGACATGGGTATAATGTGTGAAGCCCATTTCTGGTGTCCCCCTACCGTGATATTGCTGGAATATTGCTAAAAGAGGCGTAGAAACCATACTCACTCACTCACTCACTCCTATTGCCACCATGACCATAACATGAGATGTGCAGTAAAATATTAGGATTTTTTATGTTTTTTGGAAAATGGAAATAAAAATGAAACGTGCGGCCCACTTTATGATGATGTGAGCGGTGCCTGAAAACCAAGGCCATTATCTTTTTTAGTCTGATTGTGTCAGTGTTATATTAAGTGAATGTCATTGGAACTAAATGCCTTTATTTCATGTTTAAATCATAGATTTTTAATTGACTACAATATTGAACTTTTAAGATGTTATTTGTGTTCATGTTTTAGTTGCTATAAAAAGAGAAGGATATGATTCCAACTGTTAACAAATTATTTATTTTGCTGTAGCCTACATTTTTTTAATTTTGTGACTCTGTCATATAGGAACCACTGGAAGTTACCAAGCTGTTTGGGTTGAGGGGAATACAGCACACACCCCTTGGAATCAAGAACGCCCGCATTTCCCAGCACTACAAGGCCAGCATGACAGCCACGTTCAACCTATATCCTGTAAGTTAATGACCAGATTGTTATCGTTAATGACGAGATTGTTAACGTTAATGATGAGATTGTTAATGTTAATGATGAGATTGTTAATGTTAATGATGAGATTGTTAATATTAATGATGAGATTGTTAATGTTAATGACGAGATGGTTAACGTTAGTGATGAGATTGTTAATATTAATGATGAGATTGTTAATGTTAATGATGAGATTGTTAATATTAATGATGAGATTGTTAATGTTAATGACGAGATTGTTAACGTTAAAGATGAGATTGTTAATGTTAATGATGAGATTGTTAATGTTAATGATGAGATTGTTAACGTTAATGATGAGATTGTTAATGTTAATGATGAGATTGTTAATGTTAATGATGAGATTGTTAACGTTAATGATGAGATTGTTAATGTTAATGATGAGATTGTTAACGTTAATGATGAGATTGTTAATGTTAATGACGAGATTGTTAACGTTAATGATGAGATTGTTAATGTTAATGACGAGATTGTTAATGTTAATGATGAGCTTGTTAATATTAATGATGAGATTGTTAATGTTAATGATGAGGTATTTTTGTTTGTCTGATGACACAGTTGTAATTAGCACTTCCAGGGATTCGGAACAAATAATATGCTATTTTCTCATTACTATATGAAACATGAAAGGAGAAAAAACATATTCGCCAGCACAATGGCAAGGTACTTTTTCAAAGCTTTCTATAGCAAAGTTCAACAAGTTTGACAGTAAATTAAGATTTTTGCTTTGTCAGTTTTCACTTCACGACTTATCATAAGGGCATGATTTTTGTAGCGTTTAGTGACAATGTTGTAAACGATACAAATTAGCAATGGTTTCAATGTGAGCACGAGATGTTCACTGATGATATCCTTTGTACATTTACAGAATGCAGAGTATGCCATTGTCATTGAGGAAGACTTGGACGTGTCCCCAGACTTCTTCAAGTAAGTTTCCTGGGAGATTCTTGTTAGCATCTGGAATCTCAGCATGTGTGAAATACACAACATACATGGTAGTTATACGAGCAGTAGTAAGGCTGGCATTTTATGAGGGCTTCAAATTGTTTCCCATCAACTTTCATTCATGTTCTTCATGGTAATTGTCAAATCAATGAATTTACCTGTGATTTTTGGATAAGGATTTTATTGGAGTTTAATGAGGTAGAGGATCAAAACTGTGAGTTTAGGTACATTATATCTAACCTCAGTATCAGTTTTATTGTACAGAGTTGAGTTGAACTGATGTTATTGAAATATTGTTACTTATATAAGCCGAGAACTGAGATGGACAGGTTATAAGGAAATGTGAAATGTACTTGGCATGGTTGGATGACTGACATGACTAGGTTCAGTCTCATGAGATGACTCGAGGCAGTTATATGGTCGGATTCTGATACGTTGCAGATTCTCAGATCTATATCAGATTCCACATTTGGGGCAGATATTGTGATTTATGTTTATGTTAATATTTATTGCCAAGATTAATAACTGGCAATTTCTATTAATAATTGGTAACTTCTTTTTTATATATTCCTAATGATTCGGCATTAGGGTCTTTCGACTGTGGTTTCTTCCTCTGACCGCCATAAGAAAAATATCAGTTTCTGAGGTGTCCAGCTACATCGTCCTTGACCGATCACTGTGTCTAATAGTAATAGATGTTAACCTGACATGACGTCTGCATAGGCAATGAGTCGTGACGTTATCTCAAGCATTTGAACTGATTGTCCGGTCATGGATTAGATACTGACATGACGTCAGATCACAATGAGAATCTGCCACAGATCTGAGCATACACCACTGATTAGAGTCTCGCCATAGATCTGAGTCCTACATATATATTCAAATACACGTGTGAAAGTCGAAGGTGATTGAGGCTGATTTCTGTCACAAGTCCACCCAAGAGGTACACATTCGGTGTGAGGGTTTGTTGTTTAACACTGCAGTCAGCAGTATTCCATCTATATCACTACGTGTAAGTCAGCTATACCACTAGACCAAGCAACCAGTGACAATCGGGGCAAGTGACAGGCATACACCTGATCACCTGGGGAAATCCCCATGGGGTTCAAGAGAACAAAGAATATGCATCTAAAGGATAGAGAGTGTAGTGAGTGGTACTGCCTGTTGCAGCTACTTCAGCCAGACACAGCACCTGCTGGAACAAGATGAGAGCCTGTACTGTGTGTCAGCCTGGAACGATCAGGTGAGTCACCTTGTACAAAACATCATACCTCCGAACCGCCTTCGTGATCTAATGGTAGAGTGTCCGCCCGGAGAGCGGAAGGTCAGGGGATCGATCCCCAGCCACGTCATACCAAAAGACGTTAAAAGATGGTACTTGTTGTTACCCTGTCTGGCGCTCAGCATTAAGGGGCTAAAACAAGGACTGGTCGGCTCGGAGTCAGTATACTGTGTCTGAGTGGGGTATTCATGTTAAACTGCGGCATGGTATCTCAGTGAGCTAGCACTATAAATCGGCATCAGTCCAGACTAGTACAAGCAGCCACACACACACACACACACATACACGTGCATGCACGTCGCTATATATAAGTGCAATAATCTTGGACGCGATGTTAAACCCCATTTCACCTCACCTCATACCTCCATGTCAGAATGATACCTGATTGGTCCACGTGATCTTGATAAAATACTGTGTAACCCGTCTTGGAGGATGATACATTCTCAGCGGGGGAATAAATCTCTTATACCCCGCCATGAACAATACAGGCTGCAGGTGGATTTCAGAAAGGCAGAATAAATCCCTTATATCCCACTTCAAAGCAAAAAACTACACGCCTTTTTCGAGTCAATGGAAGTCACGTGACATAGCACAGGTTGATATCAGCTCAATCGAACATCTGTTTTCTATCAATTTTGAATTTGTGTTAATTCTTTTACAATGTTACATTAAAACATGTCGGTAAGATAAATTCAGTGTAGCGGGATCACGAAGGGTACATGGGTTTTATGCGTCCCTCGTCAGGAGGAGAGGGATGCTTAAAACCCTGTGTACCCCTCGTGATGCTGCTGCAACTTATATTGGATCTTGACTACTGTGGAGTTTTATCTGGGTCTCCAAACTTGAAGACAAGACTCCCTTGGTCTGAACATATTGTCTGTAAAACCTATGTTTTCTTGTAATTTTATTGTTAATGGAGAGTTATGATTTGACACACAAGAAGCCTGGGGTTGAATTCTGGCCACTGGAATTTGCATTTGCTGAAAACATGAAATTTGACATATTTGTTCATTGAACGTGTTGAAATCAGTCGAGCACAGTCTCACTTTGGGAGTTGATGTCAAATGAAAGTTATCAACAGAAGAAACAAGGAACGTGTACTCAAATGTTTAAAAGTTACTACGGAGAAAATAACATCTGTTGTGTTTTTCTGCAAAATGGGATGGAACTCCTCATTTTTATAGATGAAGTGTTTAACTGCCAGTATACCACTGTGTGTGCATACCTCTGTCTCACACCATCAGCATTAAGAAACCCAACTGCACTTGAAGTGTGTAGATGAGCATTACAAACTGCAACTGCACCTGATCTGTGTATGCCCTATGTTACTGTGCAGGGCTATGAGCACTCCTGCAAGGACCCGGCCCTGCTGTACCGTGTGGAGACAATGCCCGGGCTAGGTTGGCTGCTGAAGAAGAAGCTGTACAAGGAGGAGTTGGAGCCGCAGTGGCCGACGCCGGAGAAGGTGGGTCACAGAGAAGTGCACAACCAACAATGTTAATGTTCCCTTCTCATGTTGTCCAACCCGTGAAGATCCGGGGTAGAATAGATCTTCAGCAACCAATGCTTGCTGTAGAAGGCGACTATGCTTGTCGTAAGAGGCGACTAATGGGATCGGTTGATCAGGCTCACTGACTTGGTTGATGTACGTCATCGATCCCTATTGCGGGGATTGATGCTCATGATGTCAATCACTGGATTGTCTTGTCCAGACTCGATTATTTACAGACCACCGTCATATAGCTGGAATATTGCTGAGTGGGGCGTTAAACAGCAAACATCATCATCATCATCATCATCATCATCACCATCATCACCATCATCATCATCATCATCATGTTGTCCATTAGGTGATTCATTGTTTATTAGGACATGTGAACACTAGGATGAATGGACCACCTCAGTGGTGAAGTGGATAGATGGTATGCCCAGAGATCAGAAGGTTGTGGTTCGTACTCTGGCTGTGTCATACCATATGATGTTAAAAGATGGTACTTGTTGTTACCCTGCCTGGTGCTTTTCATTAGGGGGATGAAACAAGGAATTGGCGTCTTGATGCAGTATACTGTGTCTGAGTGGAGTATCTATGTTAAAAACTGCAGCATCTTGTCTCAGTTGGCTAGCACAATACAAACCAGGATTAGTCAGGACAAGTACAAGCAAGCTCACGAGTAAGTGAGCGTCGCTGTGTGAGTGCAGTAGTCTTAAACACATTGTTAAACCTAATTTCACAACACATGACCATGGATGAAGTGACCACATGGTGGCAATGACTGTTACATGTTACAGCAACGACCACATGGGAGCAATGACTATGTTACATGTAAGAGCAATGACCACATGGGAGCAATGACTGTGTTACATGTAAGAGCAACGACCACATGGGAGCAATGACTATGTTACATGTAAGAGCAACGACCACATGGGAGCAATGACTATGTTACATGTTACAGCAATGACCACATGGGAGCAATGACTATGTTACATGTAAGAGCAATGACCACATGGGAGCAATGACTATGTTACATGTTACAGCAATGACCACATGGGAGCAATGACTGTGTTACATGTTACAGCAATGACCACATGGAGCAATGACTGTTACATGTTACAGCAACGACCACATGGGAGCAATGACTATGTTACATGTAAGAGCAACGACCACATGGGAGCAATGACTGTGTTACATGTAAGAGCAACGACCACATGGGAGCAATGACTATGTTACATGTTACAGCAATGACCACATGGGAGCAATGACTGTGTTACATGTTACAGTAATGACCACATGGAGCAATGACTGTTACATGTTACAGCAATGACCACATGGGAGCAATGACTGTTACATGTTACAGCAATGACCACATGGAGCAATGACTATGTTACATGTTACAGCAATGACCACATGGGAGCAATGACTGTTACATGTTACAGCAATGACCACATGGAGCAATGACTATGTTACATGTTACAGCAATGACCACATGGGAGCAATGACTATATGTTACATGTTACAGCAATGACCACATGGGAGCAATGACTATGTTACATGTTACAGCAATGACCACATGGGAGCAATGACTATGTTACATGTTACAGCAATGACCACATGGGAGCAATGACTATGTTACATGTTACAGCAATGACCACATGGAGCAATGACTATGTTACATGTTACAGCAATGGGACTGGGACATGTGGATGAGATCAAGCTTTATCCGGAAGGACCGCGAGTGTGTCATACCCGATGTGTCCCGCACGTATCACTTCGGCTCCAAAGGCCTCAACATGAATCCCTACTTCCAGGAGATCTACTTCAAGAAACATTCACTGGTCACATTCTCCAATGTCAAGTTAAAAAATATTAACAGGTAAGGCCCCCCCAAAATAATAGTCTTGGTTCTCAGGCACCGCCCGCATTATCATGAAGTTCGCCGTCCGTTTCGTTTTTGTTTCCATTTTAAAAAACAAAACAAAAAAATCCTTAAATATTCCAAGTCCAATGGAAGTCAAATAATGTGTTCCATTTTTTTACTCATCAAGGAATACATTTATGTAGGGAGGCCTATTCCCAGGTTGAATGTACAGAAGTGTTTACATGGTTACATACTAGTTTAAAAAAACAACAACAAAAAACCAAAAAAACCCACTGCCTGCTTGCACTTTATTTCTAAAAGATATTGCCTGAGAACCAATTTTTTTAAGCCTAAGGAAAGCACAGCATTGACTGTGTCATAGATGTTTTTATGTTTTTTAAGAATGATGGAAGATTGAGTCTAAAACATTAAATATGTATAACCCAAACTGGCTTCTGCCTGAGATATCGGTTTGGTGTCATCAAGCAATATCTCCTAGGAGATATCGATGGATTACATCACAGTGCTTTGCAGACTGTTGAGATATCATTGGTAACCATGATGTCACAATCAAATGACATCACTATTTTTACTGACTGAACCGTGCGCGAAATATGCATATGTCGGAAAGCGCATGTTAAATTCCCAATTTAAGTAAGTACGTACTGACTAACATTCTCATCATAAGTTTGAAATGAAAGCGCCATGCTTATGAAGCTGTATTCAAGCTGTGAGTCGTTGCTCTAGCTGAGATATTTTCTCACGGGTTCATAATTCTATATACACCGATTAAAAAAATGGCGCTTCGCTGTTGATAGCAACATAACAATCATTACAAGATTAAAAAAGACAACAGAAACAGCTTCCCACATTAGGGTAGTGGATGACAGGTTTGTTAAATCTTCATTAGAAATTATAATGACTTTTTCAATATAATTACAACGTTTTCCATCTTATATTATTGAATATCTGCGAGTACCGGCACATGTCTTGCAGTCTGACTTCACAGTGTGTTTTGCCTTTCACTTCCTGGTTCGGCTTATCTGCGGGTCATATCATTTTCTTTCATATTTCAATGGTCAAGTTAATACCTCGGCTTATCTATGGGGACTGCTCATCTGTGGTCATATACGGTAATCTCTTTGCCTTTGAAGCTGGTGAGCTGTATGTTTTACACAAAAGACACTCCAAATTACTGTTTACAAGTTGAAAAAGTTGGAAGAATGACTTTGGATAATAAATAGAATCTCACCCTTGTGTTCTTCGATATCAAATATATCAACACATTGATAAAACAATCCTCTGAGATTTAAACGTATGACCATGTGTTGAGATACTTCATATGAAAAGACACAAGAGTGACATTCTCTATATATACACATACAGCAGGAATTCCAAGTGCACTCTTTCACACCTCCACCACAGCCTGCTGTTCAAGTGAAATGGATTCTTCCATTGCTAGCAGAATGTCTACTTTCCCAAAATGTGGTGTTCACACAGATGTTTGTTAAGTTTGTTTATCAGTATCTGTACGTGGTCCAATGTCTGCATGGTGGTGACACAGTGCTCACTGACTTATCTTCCTGTTTCAGCATTCAGAAGGAAAACTACGAGGAGGTCGTTAAAAGTCTCATCAAATCGGCAGAGGTGTTGGATCATAAGAAATCTCCATGTAGTGAAGACTTTATTCCTGTTTCACAGGTATACATGCAGGGCTGACCTCTAAAGTATGATGAATGTTTAGCAGTTATAACCTGAAACCTGAAACAGTCATTCACATTGTCATACTACATGACTGCTTCTGACTGAATAACTAAGTCTGTCAAGGGAGTTTAATAGTTAGAACTGTAATCTGAAACAGGCAGTCACATTGTCATACTACATGACTGCTTCTGACTGAATAACTAAGTCTGTCAAGGGAGTTTAATAGTTAGAACTGTAATCTGAAACAGGCAGTCACATTGTCATACTACATGACTGCTTCTGACTGAATGACTAAGTTTGTCAAGGGAGTTTAATAGTTAGAACTGTAATCTGAAACAGGTAGTCACATTGTCATATAACATGGCTGCTTCTGACTGAATAACTAAGTCTGTCAAGGGAGTTTAATAGTTAGAACTGTAATCTGAAACAGGCAGTCACATTGTCATACTACATGACTGCTTCTGACTGAATGACTAAGTTTGTCAAGGGAGTTTAATAGTTAGAACTGTAATCTGAAACAGGTAGTCACATTGTCATATAACATGGCTGCTTCTGACTGAATAACTAAGTCTGTCAAGGGAGTTTAATAGTTAGAACTGTAATCTGAAACAGGCAGTCACATTGTCATACTTCATGACTGCTTCTGACTGAATAACTAAGTCTGTCAAGGGAGTTTAATAGTTAGAACTGTAATCTGAAACAGGTAGTCACATTGTCATACCACATGACTGCTTCTGACTGAATAACTAAACCTGTCAAGGGAGTTTAATAGTTAGAACTGTAATCTGAAACAGGCAGTCACATTGTCATACTACATGACTGCTTCTGACTGAATAACTAAGTCTGTCAAGGGAGTTTAGAGTCATTTTAAACAGGGGTTCTTGGTTATCATGACTCATCGCTTTATGGCTGGAATAACGCTGATGCAACGTTAAAGTCTAACTCACTCACTGTTCTCGTGCCAAGTCAGCAATAAACTGACACACTCCTGGAGGTGGGCAGTGAGGTTAAGGTATCTTCCTGTAAGCTGTCAACTGCAAGATGACCTAGCTATCATTGGATAGGACTGTCATGACTGATCGTCTTTCTTTGTATTTCAGGATAAGACATATGTTATGTACATACAGATGAATTCACCAACAGATTATGTTACTTGGAAACAAATAGCAAAGGTAAGTGTTGCAAAGGTATTCTCTGCCAGTTGTAAAAAATATGAATGATCATACAAATGTTGTAAGAGAAATTTTTAGGCACATTTTAGAATACCTATATTATTTTTAATCCTCTGTTTTGTTGTTATTTCAGTGCTATCATTTATGGGATTTAGATGTCAGAGGATTTCATAAAGTGAGTATGGCTTAAGAATGTAGAATGTAGTAGGGGGACGATACACTGATACATCGGTGGATCACCATTCTTTACTTCTCGATATAAGTATTGATCACAAACACTAACACTAACTAGTAGTGAAAGTAAGTAGTTAGTGCTTTTAGTTATGACTATTGTTCAATTGTTTCATTGTTTTGTGATGTGGCCCGTGGAGATGTGATGTCATCTCAATGTATTGTTGCAAATAATGGAATATGACTCTAGGGCTGGGACGGGTAACTCGGGTACTTGGGTCAGATGGGTCCTGAGTAGGACCTGGGCACCCACAGGACACGTTGACATTTTGTTCCCAACTCTTGAGACCTGCTGGGGGCACTGGTGGCCCAGTCGTCTAAGGAGCTGCGATTCTCTGTGCAGAGTTGCGTCCCTTGGGCACGCCAGAAACCTATGATTGTGGGTTCGAATCCCGGTTCGCCCCGATTATGTTTCTAGGTTTGTCAGCACCATACCCGTGCTCGTGGGTTTCACCGAAGTGGTAAACGTCTGAGATCTGCATCACTTCGGGCTTTCCTCCCACATTAAGCTTACACGCCGCGATATAACTGGAATACTGTTAAAAGCGGCGTTAAACCAAACTCACTCATTCACTTGAGACCTGCTGTGGGTACCCGGGTAATAGGGGATCAGGTACCTGGGTAGTAAAATGGACTCGTCCCAGCCCTATATGACACCATCCATTGTTCATGTGACATAGTTCCAATGAAATACTCACTGAGCATGTCTCACTTGAGATCAGGAACCCCACATTATTCAACAGTTTCCTAGAAAAGAACAATACATAGAATTACCTACACACAATTACGAATTGCCTGTCTCTTGTGAAATAATCTTCCTATTCCCTTGCCAATGTTTGATATTCAAAATTAATAATAATTTAATAGAATCCGTAATTCCTTTTGGTTGTTAATTGTTCTCTGAAAGGTTGCTACTAACACTGGTGTTATTATTTCAGAGCATGTGGAGGTTGTTCTATAAAGGGAATCACCTCATTATGGTGGGGTCACCTGCTTCTCCATATGCGTAAGTATTCTATAGGTCAGCCATGATGTTATTGCTATGTACATATAAAACAACAGGAACTAATTTGATATTCACCGGTTGGGTATCCCATGTTAGGTCCCATGTACAATATATCAGGGACATCTCATGTTACAAAAATGCAATTTTTAAATTGGTTATTGTTTGGTCAACTTTGCAGTATATTTCAATACAACCATATGATTAGATTGTCGTTTAAGGGAACAATGGAAATACAGTGATGATTTACATGAAATAAATATGTCAAAAACAACTGTTACACTTAATGTGTACCAGCTATTGAGATGATCCCTCTTTCCTTAGTTAGGCTCTCTACAGCGGATATTACCGTAATCTTTTACTACAGTGCGCAGCCAAGTATAATGCACACACCCTTCTAACGGAGTCAGTATTTTGGTAAAAAAAGAAATTTGAATATTATGTGCAGAAAAACTTTTTACCGTAACCCTTCAGAAAATTCCGGTAAACGAATGAGTGATAAGAAATTTGGTCAGTGCAAATTTGAAATTTCAAAATGATTTTTATCACAGTGCCAGCTGGCTAGGCATCTAGATTGAGGCAAGGCTCATTTGACTTTATTTGCAGAAAATGTATGTACTTATGTAGTATGAAATAAGGAAATGAGATAATATAGGTGTTTATGTACCAAATTATTCTTGTAATAGTTATTTCGGATGAAATGCAATGTTTCACTGTTAAACATCAATGCCAGGCCGGCTTACAAACTGCCATTGGGACCTGAGACAGCTACGTATCCCCTTTCATATCCCCTAATTTTTGGTAACGGTACCAAGCGCTCATATTATAGATGACGGTATGTGTCAAGAAGCGCTTTCTTGTTCTTTGAGTTTCCCTACCCCAGTATTTTAGCAAACCATGAATTGGTTAACAAGTCTTGCCTCTCAAGCATTTGTCCCTATCTGTGACCCATCCCTGGATAGACATACATTCTTACGATTGAGTAGTACAAAAATGCTGAAAGAAAATAAGGTTATCCACCCCCATAAATTATGTCTCTCCACACCACTCCCTCCCCCCCATACTTGCACAATATCATCTATCATCCAAACTGCTGTAATAGTTCAATAGTCTTTAATACATTTAAATGTCTGTACATCAGATGTTAAACAAAAAATTATCATCCACTGAAGTAGTGCTTGCGTGAAAATTAATATTTATATTTTAAGCAAATGTTTTCTTTTGTTTTCAGTGAATTCAAACCAAAAGATCTGGTACCATTATTTCTGAATTCAACAGAAGTGGCAAGAAGGTAGCATTGGCTGACACAACCAATCAACATCCATTTCTACATCAACCAATCAGATTCAACATGAAATTCAGCCAATCAGCTGTCAAGATCTACCATTCAAATCAAACAGTAGAAGTCATTAATATATCTTGTGACAGCAGAATATGCTTGCAGTTTCCTTGTGTGATATTATCAATCCATATAGATTTTAATGGACAGGATATTGTTATGTATTATTGACTTAAAGGTGCAAGATTGGGTCTTAGTTTGTCAAATAAATTATATTGGAGTTGTATTTGATGTGGGAATACAAATACCAAAATATCACATTGTCCACCCTTCCCTTTGAAAGATATTAGCCATTAATAAAAGGTGAAAACCTGACATGGCTGTCTGATATAAGTAGATTCAAATAAATTGTGAAAAGATGATGCAACGCATGAACAGACGGAAACCCGTCTATTCATTATGTGAAACATACATCAGTTTTTAATTTGACATAATCAGTGAATAAGGATTGGTGGTTTAAGGGTCCAGGACGTTGACAGTTCTGGGTGTTTTTAAATCATGCATGAAATAATTTCCGAATGTGACATCACACCTTTACTTCTTGCACGATTCATTTCTCAAACCAAAACAATAGAGTTAAGCAAAGCGATGCCAACAACCAAAGTGCTGCGCAGAATAAATTGGCTTTGGCCATGGTTTTATCAGAGGCAAATTGAAGAGAAAACTCATGTGTTATTCTTATGGGGGAGTAATTGATGACCTGCTAATGAGCCTACTCCTACAGTGTAGTCACTGGAGCAGAAACTTCTCTGGTGGAATAAGTGAGCAGGGCAGAGTAAGTGCAGGATTTATTGGCTGTTGTTTGTAAACAATGCTTCAGAATGGTCAACGTCCTGGCGCTTTTAGTCTTCAGTCTAGCATACATGGAAGTTGTGTGTAGACAAAATGTTTCTGTATCATAATATGTGAAAGGCACATAGGCCATTTAGATCATGCAATTCTGACCTTGCACCTTTAAAATACATGATTTCCTTACATTTAACATATCATGTCTCATTGAGACAGAGATGACATATTTGTGATGTACAGAATGTGGTTAGGCTTAAAAAAATAAAAGAAATGGTTCTCAGGCAATGACTTTTGAAAATATAGTGTGGGCGGGTGGTAGTTTTTGGGGGTTTTTTTTGCTTGTTCAAACTAGTATGTTACCAAATAAAAAGTTGTGTACCATCAACCTTGGAAAGGGACACCCTTTATTTAAATACAAGCATACAAACTCCTATTGCTGCCATGACCATAACATGAGATGTGCAGTAAAGCAGTGTGCATGTAAAGGGAAGTAACTGCGTGCTATATTAAATCGCTTAGATATTAGGATTATTTATGTATTTTGAAAATGGAAAAAAAAAAAAAACGTGCGGTGGACTTTATGATGATGTTGGCAGTGCCTGAGAACCAAGACTATTGTTTCCTTTAGCCCAACATGATTCCACATGATCCAGGTGGGTGAAACACAAATCCAGATGTATACTGCAAAGATTATTAGAAATATTCAATCTTTTTATGTATTGGAACAATAATAAATGTAAGCATGTTACACATGGCCTACACCATGTGTCGCATGACGACTGAAAACATTGCTGAGACCCCACCCACTCATGTGACACACATATCATGCTGTCAGTTTCTGTTTGTCCATGGTGCCAAAATGTTGATGTGTTTAAATTTGTTTCATAACCTGATGCCATCCTTCCTTTTATTTTTGTATTTTATGGTTTCTTTTGTCAAACTAGTTGATATGTATTTTAATTCCATGTAATATTACTCTTAAAAGAAGTTAAAGAACACCTGATTCTTTCATATTACTATAGATGATCTGCCCTGGCCTGACAGTACCGTATTTTCTTGAGTATAGTGTGCACTTTTTTTTCCAAAAAACACAGCTGTGTAGAAGGGGGTGCGCATTATACACGAATTTATGAGTTTTGATGTTTTTTCCCCCATGGAAAGACATTACCGTGAGCACGTAACACAGGAAATACCACATCAACAAATCCATACTGAAGTACGCAAATTAGTCATGTAATTACACTGTCTGGCTATAAAAAGTGTTCTTTGTATATCTGGACTTATGTTTGTAACTTATTTTATTAATTTTATTCAAAATTCCTTTTAATATTGTTTTAATTAATTTCGGCGAAATCGTGTGTGAAGCGATCTTCCGATCGCACAACTCACCGCTTGGAGATGAAGCCAAGCTTTATTGTACTCACAATTGTTAATTTTTATCTTGATATCCCGTATATCGCCGTCTATAAACCAACCCCCGCCTATAAGGCGACCTCCCTGTACAAGCCTTCACAATTGATGCTAATTTATATACCCCGTCTATAAAGCGAATTGGAATGAAGCACATCACCAGCACATACAGAATGTTTGTAAAGAATATTGAATTAAATTTTGAATAAAATTTATAAAATAGATTACAAACATATGTCCAGATATACAAGGAACACTTTTTATAACCAGACAGTGTAATTACATGATTAATTTGCATACTTCGGTACGGATTTGCTGACATGGTATTTTGGGTGTTATGTGCTCAAAGTAATGTCTTTGTGTTGGGGGAAAAAACATCAAAACTCTTCAACTCTGTGTTTCAGACGACCCCTCTTGAAAGCCCCCTAATTCTAGGTATGAAAAAATTTGCCTTATGCACAGCGATAAATGGTAGTACTGTCAGGCGTCACCTATCTGTCTTAGAGCATAGACAAGTTCTTGAGTGAACAGTTTGTGCATACAGAACTTTCCCCTTCCACTCCAACCCAGGTCCCAGGGATGTGGCACTGTTGTATAAATTGTATTGGCTGGAGTACAACATTGGGATCATGTTGTACTACATGTGATCCAAGTGTCACGCCTTTTGGATCAGTGCCTGTACTCTGTATACAGAAAGCTCACATCCTTGAGACTTTCTACACAAAGAGCTTCTCTGTAAGGTTTCTGGAGCTGATCTGTAATCAAACAGACAGCCTCTTGTTTGTAATGTCTATCCAGAAGATATAGAATATCATTCATTTGGTAGACAGGGCGCTGGGTTAGCATTGTCACTCAGAAGACCCGGGTTCAATTCGCCACATGGGTATAATGCGTGAAGCCCATTCCTGATGTCCCCCTGCCATGAATATTGCTGGAATATTGCTAAGTGCAGCGTAAAACTATAGTCACTTACTCACTTATCTACTAGACTGGCATTTAGTCCCAGGAATAAAGTTATCTTATTTAAAAATATAGATAAAATATTTAAAAAATCCAATGGAGTCCAGAACAATCCTAATTTCTTAATCTAGACTTGAGTTGGGCTACTTTTTCTATTCATTTTTACCATCTGAATAACTTAAGATAGCCATCAAGTGACAAGTTCACAGATGGCTGGAGTGTAGGTCTTGTGTAGCACACAGGCTACAGTGTTGCTCAAGTTTGCTCACTTATGTTTAAACCAGATGTTGAGCTGCTGATGTGCGCAGAAAGAGAATTCCATTTTGAAATATTTAGGCCATGTGTCACTTTAGATCTTCCAGCCTTTTGGGATAACTCAATGACTATCTTTAACAAGCATGACAATGTCAAGAAAGTCTTTATTTGAGAGTTGTGTGTGGAACCAATGGCACATTACACTGTACCAGTGATTAGTTTAATCTTGTTTATTTTCTCAGGATCGTTATTGTCTGGATTAGTCAGGTCTCAATGTACACAGTGTTAAATCTGTATTATGCAGTATTGTCATGGCTCAATTTAACAGCTGAGATGTAATGCTGCTGATCTGTGTAAGGTTCTCAATACACAACTCAACATGGGATCTGGATGTCCCTCTTGCTGAAACATCCTTGTTGATTTGACATCTTGATGGTTGGCTTCGTCATCAAGCGGACTGCCTTGTAAGGACGTGAGTTTGGATCTCGTGCAGATTATTTCCTCTGTTGTTAGTGAGTAGAAGGACTTGTTCTGCATGTAAGACCTACACAGTCACAAATGGCATGAAATCCTTTTTGGGCCAACATGCTATACGATGTACAGCTGAAGTTCATACCATTGTATGGTACAGCTAAAGTTTATACCATCGTATGGTACAGCTGAAGTTCATACCATCATATGCTGCAGCTGAAGTTTATACCATCGTAGTGTACAGCTGAAGTTCATACCATCGTATGGTACAGCTGAAGTTCATACCATCGTATGTCACACCTGGATTTCATACCATTGTATGCTGCAGCTGAAGTTCATACCATCGTATGGTACAGCTGAAGTTCATACCATCATATGCTGCAGCTGAAGTTTATACCATCGTAGTGTACAGCTGAAGTTCATACCATCGTATGGTACAGCTGAAGTTCATACCATCGTATGTCACACCTGGATTTCATACCATTGTATGCTGCAGCTGAAGTTCATACCATCGTATGGTACAGCTGAAGTTCATACCATCATACGCTGCAGCTGAAGTTTATACCATCGTAGTGTACAGCTGAAGTTCATACCATTGTATGGTACAGCTGAAGTTCATACCATCGTATGTCACACCTGGATTTCATACCATTGTATGCTGCAGCTGAAGTTCATGTCACTGTATGCTGCAGCTGAAGTTAATACCATTGTATGCTTCAGCTGAAGTTAATACCATTGTATGGTACAGCTAAAGTTCATACCATCGTATGTCACAGCTGAAGTTCATACCATCGTATGTCACAGCTGAAGTTCATACCATCGTATGTCACAGCTGAAGTTCATACCATCGTATGTCACAGCTGAAGTTAATACCATTGTATGCTGCAGCTGAAGTTAATACCATTGTATGCTGCAGCTGAAGTTCATACCATTGTATGCTGCAGCTGAAGTTCATACCATTGTATGGTACAGCTGAAGTTCATACCATCGTATGTCACAGCTGAAGTTCATACCATCGTATGTCACAGCTGAAGTTCATACCATTGTATGCTGCAGCTGAAGTTCATACCATTGTATGCTGCAGCTGAAGTTCATACCATTGTATGCTGCAGCTGAAGTTTATGCCATTGTAGTGTACAGCTGAAGTTCATACCATCGTATGGTACAGCTAAAGTTCATACCATCGTATGGTACAGCTGAAGATCATACCATTGTATGTCACAGCTGAAGATCATACCATCGTATGTCACAGCTGAAGTTAATACCATCGTATGCTGCAGCTGAAGTTCATACCATTGTATGCTGCAGCTGAAGTTCATACCATTGTATGCTACAGCTGAAGTTCATACCATAGTATAATACAGCTGAAGTTCATACCATTGTATGATACAGCTGAAGTTCATACCATTGTATGGTACAGCTGAAGTTCATAACATGGTATGCTGCAGCTGAAGTTCATACCATTGTACAATACAACTGAAATATGATATTGCTGAAATGTTGCTGATTAAGCTCCACTCATTATCCTGCTGATTAGTTACTACTTACATGTAGCTGACAATGGTTTATAAGCCGACATCACTCACTCATTCCTGTTATTTATGGCTGCGGGTGTATCGATCTGCGCTGGCTGAAAGTGATGGGTCCTACGCCTTCAGTCCTGTGATGCAAGGTATAATGTTGTGATAATGTGACATCTTTTAAGACATTTGAGGTAATCTTTTTCTCGACATCCATGCAGTCATGTCAATCACCTGTACATAACCTGTCAATCATTGTTTATATCACTGTCAAGAGTATCAAGCACTGCACTTCTGTGATACATTGTTGTCATGTCCAGCACGTCCATTTCCTACCCCTAACCCTGTCCCAGGGGCATGTATAGCCCAGTGCTGCCACCTGATGCTGTGAAGAGTTGTCACCCTTAGACTTGTCAGGATCAGATTAGTGGAGTCATCTCAGAGTCGACCAGACTATCCTCCTTAGTTTGTCAGCACCTTACCCGCACTCCTAGGTGTCTCCAAAGTGGAAAATGATCTGCATCACTTCAGATGTGCAGTGATGGAACTGAATACTGGCCAATGCGACAATACTTCTCATCTCATACATGATGTCATGTGGCAGTCTGATGGTGCATGTGTGTCCCACACTGGCCAATATTAGTGTGGAGCAGGTTGTCATGGAAACATCTGTAATTTGACGGGGAAAAAGACATGGATTTTGAAGCTACAAGTGACCTGAAAATAGTGATTTATATTGTATTATATGTTTTGGGAACACAGGAAGATCTGATGAATGCAAGTAAATTGACTTTGTTAGTTGTTTGTTATTTATTGTTACAGCCTCAGATGAATGCTCAGTGTGAGAGAAAGTGTCAACCATCTGCCATCTACAATTACAGAACAAATAACTTTTTCACAGAAGTTATCAAAGTAGGAAAATGCTTTCAATGTTATAGATAAGAAACTTATGTATGGCCAAGGATAAAATCACTTG